TAGTGCTGAAAGCTCAAGAGACTTCATAGAAGACTATGTACTTCATACCATGGGGGACACAAGATGTCACTGTCTGTGACCAACTGGAAGGCTGTTCACCACATTATTCCCAATGTTCACAGGTCCTGGCCCATAGTAGGACCTCTGTGAAAGCACATTGATTGATGAGATGCCGCAGGTTAAGAATGATTGAGAGATCTTACCAGGAGGTAGAAAGTTGGCAACCTTACAGTCTATTCCTGTCTTCCATCAGCTTCACTCCATCCCAACCTCACACCATAGAGACCCATATTCATTTGGTGGGGCAAGGAATTGGCTGAGAGGCAGAGAAGCCCTATGGTAGGATAGTGATAGTTGTGACAACCTTAGCCGCCTTTTTTTAAAAAAATATATTTCATTGATTTTTTACAGAAAAGAAGGGAGAGGGACAGAGAGTCAGAAACATCGATGAGAGAGAGATCGATCAGCTGCCTCCTGCGCCCCCCCACCACCACCAGGGATGTGCCCGCAACCAAGGAACATGCCCTTGACCGGAACCAAACCCGAGGCCCTTGAGTCCGCAGGCTGACGCTCTATCCACTGAGCCAAACCGGTTCGGCAACCTTAGCCTTCTTTAAAAGTTTCTGACCCTATCTTTGTCATTGTGTGTTTCATTCCAGAATATCTAAATAGGACAAAGTTTACTGCTTAGTGTCCTAAAACAAGCCTTGAAAAATCCAAATGGATATTCCATAAAAGAGAAAGCATACCTTCTTTCCTGTCTCCCATTCATCTGTGTTTGTAGCATAATTCACTCAGTGGTTCTTAACTTTGCCTGCAAACACATTGGGCTCCCCTGGTGGCTAGTAAAAGTCCAGGGTCAGACCGAAGCACAGTAGAATAAGTCAAAAAGTTTTCAAATGGGGCTCAGACATCTGTACTATTTAACATCTGTTCCTTGAGTGATAAAAGTGTGTAGCCAAGAAGGGGAACCACTGCTATAACTGAACCAGGGCAAACATTGCTCAAGGCATGTGAAACATATTCAGTATAACTGGTGACCAAAACCAAGCCAGGAACCACACACTGTTCCTGTGCAAAGAAACCCGGTTTTCCTGTCACAGAGAGACACCCTGAGATGCACCCCAGCTCCACACCAAGGGACGTTAATAAAGAGCGTTATTGAGATACAGTTCACACACCATATAATCTCCATTTACAGTGCATGTTTCAGTGGCTTTCCTGTATTCCCCGATGTGTGCAAACATCACATCAACTTTAAAACATGTTCAGGGCCTCATGATGACATCCCAGGCCCACAGGCCATCACTCCCCTATTCTCCTGCCTCCCCCAAACCCTGCCCCAAACAACCACTAATGCACCTTCTGTCTCCATAGATTTCTGGATGAAAATCACACTGTGTGATCTTTGTGATTCGCTTTTCACTTAGCAGGGTGACCCAGGCTCCTGTCGTGCCCTTAGAATTCCCCCAGCCCAGCATCTGTTCACTCAGCCCAAGGACATTGCGGTTCTGAAGACCCCATACCTGTTTCCCTTTACATTTTGTGAAAACCGAGAGAAACAGTAAAGCTTAGGAGGAAGACAGGCCTGGACTTGCATACTGAGTTTTGTGCTCACTCTCTGCAGGACACCCCCCCCCTCTGTCTCCGGGTCCTCACTTACCACTGTGGACAGTTCCCATCACACAGGACTGTTTGAAAGGATCTGAGAGGTGTTTCCCGCAGTGTGGAATGCGGAGCACAGGCGCTCTGTGGGATGCTGTCAGCTGAGCCAGTGACAGTATTCCATAGCCCTGGTCACGGCATCACACACTTGGCTCCCTTTCAGATCACACTAAGCCCTTTTTTGTTGTTAATTCTCACCTGAGGATATTTTTTCCATTGCTTTTCAGAGACAGTGGGAGGGAGGGAGAGAGTGAGACAGAAACATCTATGTGAGAGGCACATCGACTGGTTGCCTCCCACATGCACCCCAACTGGAGGGCTGGAAGCTAACCCAGGTACCTGCCTTTGACAGGACCGAACTGCAACTCTTTGGTGCTCAAGCCAATGCTATAACCCAGAGGTCCTCAAACTTTTTAAACAGGGGGCCAGTTCACTGTCCCTCAGACATTCCACACATGCACACTGCGGGCCCAGGACGAGTCGGCTGCTAAGCAGGACAGGCAGCGGTGGCAAAAACACCCGGCGGGCCGGATAGATGTTTTCGGCGGGCCGCATGTGGCCCGCGTGGCCGCAGTTTGAGGACCCCTGCTCTAACCACTGATCCAAAACCCACCAGGGCTAAGCCCCTTTGTTCAAATCAAGGAGAAAAGGTTAGTGTATGGTATCACACCTCTGTCACCGACTGAAAAAGAGAGTGTTCCTCCATGGGCTCAAACTTGACAATGAACAGCAAAGACTAGAATTCTTAACATTTTCCACCTCTCCATTGTATTGTTTTTTATAGTTACCTTTTTTGGTTGGGGGGGTAAGTGACTACATTATTAGTTACAGTCTTGCTACATTATTTCAAATAAATACATTGATTTGATTTGATGAAAAAGTTGACTCTGGGCCAATAAATTATTAATTACACGAAGGTGGTGTAGGCATAGAGCACCATCATGACTGTGGAATACACATATTCCCATACTGAGAAACACTTGATACATAAGTGGCCATAAAGCCTGCAGCATAGGTCCTGACATATGTGAAGCAATCAATGAATAGAAGGCAGTGTTATTTCTGTTGTACTCTTCCCATCTTTCAGTCAATCCACCAGTGTCTCGAATCCCAATATATCAATCCTAAGAAACTTACCAAATAAGAGGAGAGAAAGGAATTCAGCCACCATACTGAGCCTGCCGCTGGATTAAAGGACCCGTTCTCAGTTTAAAACCACAGGAGGAAGGACAGCTTGATGTGGTTGGTGACACCTTTGTTCCAGCCCATTTCTTCATTCCCTTCACCTAACCCACAGGTTTGATGTCGCAAGCACTCTCATTTTTTTAAAATTGTTAATCCTCACCCAAGATTATTTTTCCATTGATTTTTAGAATGAGAGGGTGTGGGAGGGGGAAGAGAGAGAGAGGAGAGAAAGAAACATCAATGTGAGAGAGAGACATTGATTAGTTGCCTCCCCCAAAGGCCCTGAGGGGGCCATGGATCCAACAGGCAATCCAGGTACCTTCCCTTGACCAGGAATCAAACCCTGACCCTTCGTTGTGTGGGCTGATGCTCTAACTTCTAAAATGAAACCACATTATTGAAATGAAACCAGGCATTGTCACATGGAACATTCTGAAAATGACAATATGTTGGAGATAGAGAAGAAATCATTGGTTGCCAGGGTTGAAGAATGGTGTTAAGATGAGAGATGGGTGTGATTGTAAAGAGAGAGCATGAGGGACATCTTCATGGTGATGGACTAGATCAGTATTGGACTGTGTTGGTGGCCACATGAATCTGAACATAAGATAAAAAAAGAGAGAACTATGCACACACATGTATTCATGTCAACTTCTTCCTTTTGATATTGTAATGGACGAGTAATGGAACCATTAGAGGAACCAAGTGAAGAAATCTGTGCTATTTTTGTAACTTCCTGTGAATCTACAATTATTTCCAAATAAACACGTTAAAAGTGAGATATGTGTGAAGAGGAAAAACACAACCTAAATAAACACCCTCAGTCACCCATTGGGGAGTGGGAGCATCGCTAAAGCTGTTCCAGGTGAGGCCATGGTGGAGACTGAGCAGGAGGTGTTTGTAGACTGAGCAACCGCTGTCTCTCCGATGGACCCCACCCGTCCTGTCTGTAAATCCAGACTTCTGTTTATTTTGTGGAACTTGACCAGATAGCAGCCAGAGGGTTTATTCTCAGCACGAGGCATGCGTTTTAGTAATTGAGTGGGAGAAACACAAAACTTCCCCTGATGCCTGAGGTTACCTAGAGCCCCACAGTGAGAAGTTCAGCAACAGGTACACAGCTCAGGTCATCCCCAGCACCCTGAGAAGTGCAGTGGGAAGAACTCCTCCCCCCCCCCCCCCCCGCCACACACACACCTCATCATACACATAGTGCAGCAGCCAGGAGAAGAGGGACTCAGCTGTAATGAGGGTGAGAGAGGAGCTGACTCCTCCATGATCTGATGGGCCCACCACAGTGAAGGGAGCAGGGGAAGCAAATAACTTCCGTCTCAGAGAATCACTTTTATTATCATCAGAATGTGATTTTCATAGCCTATCTCCGGAGTCATGAGAGGAGATAATAGTTCTAAAATAAGAATGAGCATTTATGAAAAAGAACAAGATATCAAACAAGAAACAACAGATCCTGAAAATGAAAATATACCCGATGACATTTTACATCTGCACCGGGAATACTGGGGACAACTCAAGAGCAAATTGATTCTATAATATAGACTGGAATTCTCCCAAATTAGGTAAAATTATGAGAATATATGAAATAAAATTTAAAAGACATGATAAATACAGTAGTTTCAACGTTTGACCAACTGCTGGTCAGAGCAGAAGATAGAGTGGAAGGGAAGCATTAATAAATACTATATAGGAACCCATCTTTCCCCCAGTTTTCAAGGAAGAACAGTTCCTACACGTGAACTACTTGCTACCCGGTCACATGCTGAAGTTTTAAGTATTTGTCAAGTCCTCCAAAATGTGTTAGGTGAGTCCGCTCAGTCCTGCCATAGGGCCCCGGTGAAGCGCACAGGAAGAAGGAAGCCAGCGGTCTTGTCCTGGGCTGGCTGGGAATGTAGGTTTCACAGCTATAAAAACTCAGCAGGTCCTGCTGGACCAGGTACTCATCATCTCCCCCTCCCAACTCAGGGGGACCTGGGGGACCTGTGGGTACAGGAGGTGGGACCTGGGATCCAGGGAGGAACCAGAAGGAAGAATATGGATCCTCACAGCCTCCAAAACAGGTTCTCAGCCAGGAAGAACCACCCCTCTCCCCAGCCTCTCCATAAAGGGAGGTTTCAGTAGGAATTGTGGATAGTACCTGCTGCTCTGCTTCTTCCACAATGATTGGCACTTTAATTGCTGTTTGAAAGGAAAGGAAAAGAGATACTAAATATCCTTACAATGAACAGAATGGTCAAACCCGATGAGGAAAATTCCACCTGCGCCATAATGCGAAACAAATCGCAGTGGGTGGGTTTGGAGGGGACCCTCGTATCACTCCAACAGCCCATGACAGAGAGAAGTGCTCAGTGTTTTACCTGGACCCACTTGGAGACCTCCTCTGGCTCCACCAGGCTTCCACCAGGAAAGCCACCATAAGAACCGTAATTAGGGCAGACAGTCCCAGTCGGATGAGGTTACCCGTGGTGTAATCTGTTGATGTGGCACCAGGGGCATCTGAAAGGGAGAAGAGGATCCCCACTGATGTCCCTGCTTCTCAATGGTTCTAGCAGAGGTGACCTTCACGGGCCCCCATGTGTGTCCTGGGCAGTGCTCAGCTGTACTGCATTATAGTTCTAATCACTGGGAACCAAATGGGGAGTGTTAGGAGAGCTGGAGTAGTGCGTCATCTTTTTATATTTTCTCTGCCTTCCCTCTCATTTCCACTTCCCTGCATTTCCTTTTCCCCTCCTCTCTCCTTTTGTTAGGAATTTGTGTGCAAGCAGCACAGAGAATCAGAGTTGCCTGTCAGCACTGAAATTCAACAGCTGCATCAGCACCAGTCCTCACAGCACAAAACTTACACCAGCAGTGAGCTCAGTGAACTTAGTAACTAAGCATCATGATGTCATGTGTTTAGCTGCAGTCACGAGTGGCTCAATCTTGTCATTGGTCCTCCTTCCTGTAGAGAAGTCTGCATTTATATCCCCCATCGCACTCATCCCAACTCAGGCAAAGGTGATCTCTAAACCCATCACCGACAATGTTCCCTGAAGGCAGAATCCATGGGGCGAAATGGGTAACGACCCTGCTTCCCAGGAATCAGGGAGCTCTGGGCACCTCTCAGGGCTGGCCATACAGACCTCGATCTAATTATAAGACATTCACCGACCACTTTAGAGGATTCAGCAGCAGAAAATGCAGCATACAGAGCTAGCACACAGTGTGCCATAGCAGGAAACAAGGTAACCACAGATAATTTTGCCATAAGTATCAGGAGATTTTTAAAAAAACAACACATTGCATCCGTCACCATCCAGCAGGAGGCTGTGGAATGCCACATTCTGAGAACAAAAGAGAGTCTTGGTAATACTCTCGCTAAAACCAACCAAAATGTTAAGAGATGTAGAGAGCGGTAGGAGGAATGGTGGTGATGCAGGACTGATAAAGTTGAAGAACAGCATGAGAAATTAAGAATTCAGAACAAAGAAGGGCAAAGGAGTGGAAATTAGGAGGTGAGAAGCAGAAGATGGCAGATCTTATGGGCTATTTATATATTTTTATAAGTTCTCTTTTAAAAACATTTTTATTTCAGAGAAAGAGAGAGAGGGAGAGAGACAGAAACATCAGTGGTGAGAGAGAATCATTGATTGGCTGCCTCCTATACACCTCCCACTGGGAATTGAGCTCACAGCCTTGGGCTTGTGCCCCTAACTGGAATTGAACCCGGGACCCTTCAATTGCAGGTCAACGCTCTATCCAGTGAGCCAAATCAGCTTAAAAGAGAAAAAAAGTTCTCTTTTTTAAAAACATATTTTTTATTGATTTCAGTGTGGAAGAGAGAGGGAAAGAGAGGTAGCAACATCAATGATGAGAGAGAATCATCACTCAGCCAACTCCTGCACACCCCCAATGGGGATTGAGCCCACAACTTAGGCATTTGGCCGGACTGGGAATTGAAGTTCACAAAATCTTGCAGAAACCTTACCTGTCACCAAGATGGTGAGCTCATCACTGGGCCTTGAGGCCCAGAAAGGAGCCCCTGTTTGGTAGTACACACAGCTGTAGGCCCCAGTGTCACTGCCTGTCACACTTGGCAGGGAGAAGTCTGTCTGAATTCCTACTGCACTCTGGAGCTGTATGGGTGTTGAGGTTCCTTTCTTCAGTAAAGCAAACGTGTGAGGTTCTGTCACAGGCCTGGGCAGCTGGCACTGCAGAATCACGTTTTCTCCTGCAGTCACCTTACGCCCTGGGCGGGCGTGGAGGGAAGGTTTAGGTAATTCTCCTGTAAGAGAAGGAAGCTCAGAAGTCATGGGCAGAAGCCTTGGGTCCCCGCTCAGGCTTGTTGTCCTGGCAGGTTCCCAGGGAACGTGGGAAGTGACAGACACCTGGCCTCACCCTCTTTCTCCTCTGACTCCAGGAAGGAGATGTCCCTCCTACAAGCCCTGGATGAGGGCAGGGTCCCCAGCTCTGTTCCTGTCCTTCTCCATCTCACCTCCCCATCTACTAGGTCCGTGGTCGGCAAACTGCGGCTCGCGAGCCACATGCGGCTCTTTGGCCCCTTGAGTGTGGCTCTTCCACAGAATACCACGTGCGGGCGCGCACGTACAGTGCAATTGAAACTTTGTGGTCCATGCGCAGAAGTCGGTTTTCGGCCTGGGCGAGTCTGTTTTGAAGAAGTGGTGTTGATATTTGGCTCTGTTGACTAATGAGTTTGCCGACCACTGTACTAGATGTACCGGTTAATAATGGCAGATTTTGTAATCAAAGAAAACACAATAATTTCAAGAGAAACATCAAAAGTCCTTTATTCAAAGTAATGTCCATCACTAGTTACACATTTCCCCCATCTTTCAGGTAATTTGTGGATACCGTCCCAATAGAACTTTTCTTGTTTTGAGGCAAACCATTCAGAGACCCAATTTTCCATTTCTTCATACCTTTAGAAGTGCTGCTCAGAAAGTGCTGTGCCATCGATCAAAATAAGTGATAATCTGAAGGAGCAAGGTCTGGTGAATACAGCGGGTGGGTTAATACTTCCCAGGCAAGATCTTTTAACGTGTCTTTACCGGTTTTTCAAGTGTGTGATCGTGCGTTATCATGAAGCAAAAAAGGTGTGCCATGTCTTCTGGCACATTCTGGTCTTTCGAGTTCAAAGCATGGTCAAATTGATTATTTGTGTCGGTAGTGATCAGTATTAACGGTTTCACCTGGTTTTAGAAGCTCATGATACACTACGCCTTCCCTGATCCCACCAAACGCAGAGCACTGTCTTCTTTCCGAAGCAATTTGGCCTTACAGTAGATGTTGATGGTTGACCTGGGTCAACCCATGATTTTGTGCGTTTGGGATTCTCACAATAAATCCACTTTTCATCGCCAGTCACAATTCAATGCAAAAAAGACTTTCTTTCATGCTGTTGAAGCAACATTTTACTGATGACTTTTTGGTTTTCCATTTGTCTTTCTTCAGTTGATGTGGCACCCATTTTCCTTCCTTTAAAATCTTTCCCATTGCTTATAAACAATCAGAAATTGTTTGCTGAGCAACGTTTAATTCTTCTGCAAGTTGTTTTTAGCTTGACACACATCTTCATCCAATAATGCTTGTAATTGTTGGTCTTCAAACTTTTTCGGTTGACCTGGACGTTCTTTGTCTTTCACATTGAAATCATCACCTTTAAAGCGTTTAGACCAGCGTTCACAAGTATCTTGAGATGGAGCATGTTCACCATAAGCTTCCTGAAGTATACGATAACTTTTTCTTCAAAATAAAGTAATGAATTAAAACTTCCCCAAATGCTCTTTTTTTGGCACGAAATTCAACATTTTTAAGCATAAAAATATCTATGATGTTAACACCTTCAGAAAACTTCACATGAAGTTTTGAAGCTTGTTGTCAATACAACAAAATAGCATACATATCAAATCACATATATATCAACATATGTGTAACTCCATCTATTGAAGAAATCTGCATTATTAACTGGTACACCTAGTACACTGGAGGTGAGACCCTGCTCCTCTCTCATTCTCTGGACCCCTCCTCATCCCAGTCCTAGGGAGATGGTGTGTCATTCTGAGCACCCGTCCCCACCTGTCACCAGCAGTAGAAGGACATCACTGGGCAGTGACCTTATGGTGGGGCTCCCTGTCCTGTAATATTCGCAGGTGTGCTCTCCAGCGCTCCTGGTGTGTAGGTGAGGGAGGTGAAATTCCGCCAGGCCCTCTGGGGAATCAGGAGATGGCGAGGACTCCAAAGGAGCATTGTTCTTTTTTTTCTTTAATTTTATTTTCTTGTTTAAAGTATTACAAATAGTAGTACATATGTCTCCTTTTTATTCCCCATTGACCTTCTCCCGGCCTCCCCTACCCCCCGGCACATGCCCTTCCCCCACCCCCCCAGTGTCTTGTGTCCATTGGTTGTGCTTATATGCGTGCATATAAGTCCTTTGATTGATCTCTTACCGCCCCCCCCCCCAACACTCTCCAGCTTTCCTGCTGTACTTTGACAGTCTGTGTAATGCTTCTCTGCCTCTGTATCTATTTTTGTTCATTAGGTTATAATGTTCTTTATGATCCATGAATGAGTGAGCAAACTTGACTTCCCAGTCAGGAGTGGAGCATCGCAGTGTCACATGACTATTGGCAGGAAGCACCGAGGTGGGCCAGGCACGGATGGAGGGCCTGGGAAGTGACCCTGGAAGGAAGCCGAGTCCAGAGCTGGACTTGGTTTACTCACCTGCTCTTCTGAAGAAAGAGAAGGGATGAGGGGAATTTGGAGTGAAGGAGAAGGAAGGCTTTCCTTTAGAAACACTCACCGTCTCTTCTTAGGTCTTGGCCAGCACACAGCCCTGCAAAGGAATCATCCATGAGACAGAAGCTCCTGCATTGAGCCCTCGTCATCTTCTGGTGAGCCTGCATCTTTTTAAAAAAATATATTTTAAATATATAAGCCGGGGTGCTTGTAATTTTTAGGAGTTTATGGAAGATTATGTACTTCATCCCAGGGGGGACACAAGACATCACTGTGAGCCGCTGTAAGGCAAGGACTCGGTGCTGTTCACCACATTATCCCCTGTGTTCCACAGCTCCTGGCACATAGTAGGGCCCAACAAATGCACATGGACTGCTGATGAGATGCCGCAGTTTAAAGACGTTATAGATCTTACAAGGGTGTGAAAAGATGCAGGCTTGGCTCAATGGTAGAGCATCAACCTGTGAACCAAGAGGTCACAGTTCAATTCCCGGTCAGGGCACATGCTCAGGTTGCAGGCTGGATCCTCATTGGGGGTGTGCAGGAGGTAGCCAATCAACGATTCACCATTGATGTTTCTATCTCTACCTCTCCCTTCCTCTCTGAAATAAATAAAAATATATTTTAAAAAGTGAATAAAAGAGAACAGAATCTTACCTTCTGTGACAGCAAGGATGGACCTGGAGAATATTATGCTAAGAGAAATAAGCCAGTCAGAGAAAGACAAATACCATATGATTTCACTTATATGTGGAATCTAATGAACAAAAGAAACGAATGAACAAAATAGAAACAGGCTCATAGATACAGAGGACAGACTGACAGCTGTCAGAAGGGAGGGGGATAAAAAAGGTGAAAGGGTTAAGGAAAAACAAAAAAGCACACCTCATAGACAAGCAATAGTGTGGTGATTACCAGAGGGAAGGGGGTGGGAGGCAGCAGGACAAGGTAGAGGGAGGATGAATGATGAAAGAAGGAGTAAACTCACAATACTATATACAGATGATGTGTTGTAGAATTGTATCCCTGAACCCTATATAGTTTTGTCAACCAACGTCAATCCCATTAAATTCAATTTTTTTTTAAAAGGAAATCGCAGCAGGCAGACCAGACAGCAAAAGCATTGCATCAGAATTGCTTGGTAATAAGACTCAGGCACCAAACTTTCAAAATCCCCCAGATGATGCAGATACTGAGCTACGATGGAGAACCACTGTTTTAACTGAACCCAGAAAACCGTTTATTAAGACTAGAACATTGACACTGATATTCACAGTCAGTCGGCTTAGAAAGAAACTTCCTAATGAAGGTGATTATGGACATCTCTGACCAGCCACAGCCTTCCCTCTCAGTGTGGTCGGCACAGGTTTTCCTGATGCTAAAATACCTTTAAAATTAACATCAAGCCTGTTTAGGAACATTGTTATAAGAAAGATTGATTTAAGTCAACGGGTGTTGGTTAGGCCTGTGTTTCTAAGAGATTTCCTCTTTTTACCCTGTGGGGGCCAAACAGTTTTGTGTCTTAGTAGAGAAAAGGGGGAAGTTGCCAGGCCTTCGTGCTAAAATTGCATGGGACAATTTTAGCATGAGCAGTGGTTAGAGCTTCGGCCCAGGCACTGAAGGGTCCCTGGTTCAATTTTCAGTCAAGGGCACATACCTCGGTTGAAGGTTCAATCCCCAGTGTTGGTCAGGACATGTGTGGGAGGCAACCAGTCGATGTTTCTCTTTCTTCCTTCCTTCCTTCCCTTCCACTCTCTCTAAAAATCAATGGGAAAAATACCCTTGGGTGAGGATTAAATATATATACTAGAGGCCAGGTGCACAGGATTCGTGCGCTGGTGAGGGGTGTGGCCTGTGGGGATCGGCCTGTTGTGGGAGCGCCTCTCATCCTGGTCAGCCAAGTGGCTGTGGACCCGCCCTCTGAGTGGCTGGTCCCTGGTCCAGCATCTCCCGTGGAGCTGGAGCACTCACCTCTCCAGGGGACCCAATCAGGGCCAGGCCCAGGGACAACAACACTGAGAGGCGGCAGAGTAGGCCTCAGTCCCGCAGCAGCCACGAACCCACCTCCCAGTGTCCGGGGTCAGCTCTGTGAGCCCGGCTGCAGCGCTCCTGTGCCGCCTGCAGGCATCTGGAGGAGGCGGCAGGGAGTGAGGAGGTGACAATTGCAGCCCGGGTTCCTTCCTGTCAGCCCTGGGGTTTCGCAATGGGAGCAACTGCTCATTCCGGTCAGCCAAGCGGTGCTCCCACTGTGGTAGCACACTGACCACCAAGGGAGCAGCTCCTCTCCATTGAGCATCTGCCCCCTGGTGGTCAGTGCACGTCATAGTGACTGGTCAACTGGTCATTCTGGTCGTTCTGCCGTTCAGTCACTGGGCTTTTATTATATAGGATATATATATCCCTGAAACATATATATATTAATGTTTCTCTCTCAAGTTGATATTTCGCCCTCTCCTTTTCCCTTTCTCTCTCTCAGCCCTAGCTGGTTTGGCTCAGTGGATAGAGCATCAGCCTGCGAACTGAAGGGTCCCGGGTTCAATTCTAGCCAAGGGTACATACCCAGGTTGCGAGCTTGATCCCCAATGGAGGGTGTGAGGAGGCAGGTGATCAATGATTCTCTCTCATCATTGATGTTTCTATCTCTCTCTCCCTCTCCCTTCATCTCTAAAATCAATAAAGAAATATTTTTAAAAATAAAAATTAATAAAAACATATTTGAAAACATTATGCACATGAAATTAGCTAGACATAAAAAGACAAATATTGTATGATTACACTTACACAAAGTACTTAGGACAGGCAAATTCATAGAGACAAAAAGTAGAACAGAGGTTACCAGAGGTTGGGAAGAAAGAGAAAATGGGTTCTTGGATAATGGGTACAGAGTTGATGTTTGATACGATGAGAGTTTTGGGTGATGATGGTTATACAACATTCTGAATGTATTTATACATTTAAAATTTTATTTATTGATTGGTTTTTGACAGAGGGAGAAAGGTAGAGAGGAAAACATCTATCTGTTCTTCTACTTATTTATGCATTCATTGGTTGATTCTTTTTAAAAATATATTGTTACTGATTTCAGAGAGAAGAAAGGAGAGGGAGAGAGAAACATCAATGATGACAGAGAGTCATTGATAGGCCACCTCCTGCATGCCCCCACACCAGGCATTGAGCCTGTAATACGGGCACATGCCCTGACCAGGAATCGAATCCTGACCTCGTGGTTATTGGGTCAACACTCAACCACTGAGCGACACCAACCAGGCCCTTGGTTGATTCTTGTATGTGCCCTGACCAGGAATCAAACCCACTAACTTTGTGTTTCTGGACAACAACCAACCAATGAATGCATAAGTAAGTGGAACAATAGGTTGATGTTTCTCTCTCTCTCTTCTCTCTCAAAATCAATTGTAAAAATATCTGAATGTATTTAATGTCATTGAACTATACACCCACAAATAGTTAAAAGGATAAATATTATTTACATATATCTTACCACAGTTAAAAAAAAAAGGAGCATAATACAAGTGTTTAAGGTATTGAAAGAAATGTCTTTTTTACTGTCAGTGAATCCACAGAGCATGGGAGAAGGTAGAGTTGAGAGACACCTGTGAGCACCGGAACTCACTAGAAGCTACACTCGGGAGGCAGCATGACCCCGGCTCTGGCGTGAGAGCCTGTGCTGGGGTCCAACCCCAGCAGGTCCAGGGGTCCCCAAAGGTGTGGATGGAGTCGGCGAAGAAGGAATGACACGGTGCCAGAATTCAGTTGATCAGCATAGCGAGGTTCTCCCACCAGGTTCTGTAGCCAGGTTCTGTGTAGGTTCTTTAGCCAGGTTCTGTCACCAGGTTCTGTAGCAAGGTTCTCCTGCCAGGTTCTATCCAGGTTCTCCTGCCATGTTCTGTCTAGGTTCTCCAGCCAGGTTCTATAGCCAGGTTCTGTCCAGGATCTTTTGCCATGTTCTCTCCCTAGGTTCTCTCTCTAGGTTCTGTGTCTAGGTTCTTCAGCCAGGTTCTAGCCCAGATCTCTAGTCAGGTTCTGTTGCCATGTTTTCTTGCTATGATCTCTAGCCAGGATCTGATGTTTATTGTCTTGTTACATCTGTATTTATACCAGCCGATTTTAATCCTGTCAATTTCTATTGCAAAGGTTAGGGCGTTTCTTATCTCCATTCCAGGGAGTAAAGATTATGTAGCTTAACTACCCGCCTGGCACTTAATTAAGGGGTTGTATCCCCTCCCTAACCTCCGGGAAAAATCCTCACCTGGGGAAACAACCTTTCTCAGAGAGGTGACCTTGGTTAAAACACATAGCGCTAAGGGGAGCAAACATATTAAGAACAGTATGCTATATACGCCAGGTCCCTTGAAACATGCTGTGCAGATGTTTCTTTCCTGCAGCAACTGTGTCAAGCAGCAAGGATGTACCGGCTCCCGGCAAGCCTGGTCTCTGAGCGTCAAAGCCCTGGGAGCCTGGGCCTTTGTCCTTTTGCTCTGCCTTGCAAAGAGGAGGTGGAGCCCACGGCACTGATCTCTCCTTTCTAAGGGATTGTGCTGGGCCGGCAGGGAGGTGCTACTTCTGCTCTCTGCATAGCAGGTCAGAGACCAGCGGTAAAGACCAGCTTCCTGTCGTGACAGAAAGCAAAGTGGATGGCGAGAACTCAGACTTCCTGCAAGAGAGCTCAAGTCTCGGGGACTCGGAGAGCCTGTAGGCTGAATGAGCTGCCCAGAGAGAGCGGCAGTCCCCTCTGACTCTCGATGAAGGAAAATAAATTCTGGGCGTCATGGAACAACTCCTGAGGGAATTGTGGTTATGACTCAAGTCAGGATGTGCTCTCTCTTGACCCATGGAACATTCTGGAGCTTTTGAAGTGCTGGCCCCTTCTCCAGCAACCTCCTCCTGCCCTCCTCAAGACCCCCAGGGCCCAAGCACCTTAAGCTACCCTGTTCATGGTCTCCTGTGCCCTGCTAATCCGAATGAGGTTGACCGCTTTGTTGAGCTTGATAGATAGTGGTCAGTCATGTGATGTTTATCCAACACTCCAAGTCCCCAGAACATCCCATGTGATCTCACTTCTTTCTTCAGGATGTACCCAAGTAACAGCCAGGAGCCTGCTCAGAGGCCTCATTGCTTGGAGGGAGCATCAGGAGACTCACTATCACTCAAAGACAAAATGAGGAGAAAAGTGAACCTGCTCATTGAAGGGAGGAAGCTAATGAAGAGCCAAAAGTTGGAAAAGACCCAGGTGCCCATCAGCCAATGGATGGATAAACAAAACGTGGTCTATGCATAAATGGAATGTATAGACACAAAATGGAATATTACTCAGCCATGAAAAGGAAGGAGATTTTTCATCCGGGGAAGATTTCTGAAAGGAATTGCTAGTGGAATCAGCGCCTGACCAAGTAAACATTAAAAATACCATTTATCGAGCATGGACTGTGCGCCTCAGTATGTGTCACGCATGCTGGAGCCTCACTGTGAGGCTGACCCTGAAAGATGAGGAAACGCTTCAATATTGACATGTTTCCCAAGGCCCCCCCCCCCAGATGAGTGTGCAGGGGCTGAGTCTCCAGGCACGTGCTTCGTTCACTGCCTCCCGACCAGACAAGCCTCTGATGTAGGGGATGCTCTGGAGCAGCCCACGGGCTTGGGATCTGAAAATTGTGGCAACGGGAGAAAGCCAAGTGCAAAGGACCATGCCGGGGCAAGTTCTCCTCTCCTGATTTTTTTAAATTGATTTCAGAGAGGAAGGTAGAGGGAGAGAGAGAGAGAGAAATCAATGATGAGAGAGAACCATTGATTGGCCGCCTCCTGCATGCCCCCTACTGGGGATCGAGTCTGCAACCCAGGCATGTGCCCTTAACCGGAATCGAACCCACGACCCTTCAGTCCTCAGGCCGATGCTCTATCCACTGAACCACACCAGCTAGGGCCTCTCCTGATTTTTGTGGCTACCAAGCTCTGTTGGTTTCTGAAAATACTCATTTGAGTTACATCCTAGCTCCATAGCTGGGGGCATATGGTCTTTCTCATCTTTCCCTCCTCAGGCTTTTTCCAACCCCAAGTCCTGACAAACACTCCCAGGATGCGTCTATACCAAGGACCCTTGTGTCTGTGTTTCTTTTAAGGTAACACCGTGACTGGGAGGAAAGGTATGGGGAGCTAGGCAGTTCTGGTGGAAATTCCGCTTCCCTGCATCCCGTGTGTGCGTGCCAATTCAGTTTGCAAACTCCCACTGGATGCTCCACCTGTGGGAGTGGACCTAGTTCCCTCTCGCGGGTTTTTGTGTTGTTGTCGGGTCACAGTGGTGTTTCCCAAGTGTGGAACGCAGCCATCGCTGTCGTGTGCTACTTCCCGGGGAAGGGAGGAGGCTCAGGGCAGGCTCGATTTGATCAAATGTCACATGACTGACCACTGACCAGCGCCTTTGATTTTATCAACAGGAAAGTCTGTTCAAAGCTGGCCTCCGATGCCTCTCCTTCATGACTAACTGCCTTTATACCAAAGAAATAGCAGGTTTCAGGCTCAGAAGCTTGACAAGCAACAGGGTATAGTTGAAATATTGTTGCCTTGGCCAGTATTTCTCAATGGTTGGAACCTCCGCCTACACACCGAAGGACCGAGGGTTCAATTCCCAGTTCAAGGGCACGTACCTGGGATGCAGGTTTGATTCCCCAGCCCCTGTCGTGGGCACATGAAGGAGGCAGCCAATCTGTGTGTTTCTCTCACATCAGTGTTCCTCTCAGTCTCTCTCTCTCTCTCCCTCCTTTCCATTCTAAAAATCAATGGGAACAATATCCTTGGATGAGATGAACAAAAAATATGTATTGGCCCTAACCGGTTTGGTTCAGTGGATAGAGCGTCAGCCTGAGAACTGAAGGGTCCCCGGTTCCATTCAGGCCAAGGGCATGTACCTTGGTTGCGGGCACATCCCCAGTAGGGGGTGTGCAGGAGGCAGCTGATTGATGTTTCTCTCATCGATGTTTCTAACTCTCTATCCCTCTCCCTTCCTCTCTGTAAAAAATCAATAAAATATATTTTAAAAAAATATGTATTGTAACATTGTTTCCTTCTCGTTGTATTGACTTCATAGTTACCTTCTTTTTGACACCAGGTTTTTATTCGTGCTATCGATATAAAGTTTCTACCTTAAACACTTTTATTTAAGCAAAATATCTAAGTCGATAAGAAAACCATGAGACATTCAGCAAAAATCATAAAGTTGGAGCAAGACTCATTGTGATTTGGAAAACACAGGTTTAGGGGTAGTGTGTGTGTCTTGGCAAGATTTTTTTAAATATATGTTTATTGATTTCAGAGAGGAAGAGAGAGGGAGACAGAAACATCAATGATGAGAGAGAATCATTGGTCGGCTGTCTCCTGCACACCCCCTACTGGGTATCGAGCCTGCATGTGCCCTTGACAGGAATCGAACCTGGGACCCTTCAGTCTGCAGGTCAACGCTCTATCCATTGAGCCAAACCGGCTAGGGCTTGGCAAGATTTTTAATACATCACATGCATTCAGTAAACCACAGTTGATGTTATCATTTCTCTCTCCACCCCCAATTCAAACCTCTCACCAATTATATTATTCTCTAGGGCCCCATGCACCGCACCACCCCGCCCCTCCCTGCCCGGCCCCGCCCTGCTAGACTTACTGAGACAGAGGAGAGGAAGCAGTTTATGGATCATAGTGTCACGTCAGCCTGTCCTGGAGTCCTGCACCAGCGCCGTCCACAGAAGCTCGAAAAGCTGGGGTGGTCACAGTTCCCCCCTGACGGCGGAGTGTGGGCAATTATGACTTTTCTCTGACTTCTCACTTCCCTCCTCCACAGCCAGTTTCTGGAAGCGTATTGTGCCATCGATTGCAACATGTTCCTCCCAACTGACCTTCAAGAAGAACTTCCTCTGTCTCCGTCCGACTTCAGGCACCAAGCAGGCAACCCCCCAGATGCCTGAGACTGGAGCCTGCAGAGTTCTATGGAGGCGATGAAGGTACTTTGCTCAAAAATAATGGGAATCCTGGAAAAACATTCAGGTTGATAGACATTGTACACAGGCTCAGAACTAAGGGCTTGGGCCAGATAGTCCTCCAGGTTCAGTGGCTACAGAAGACTCTCAGAACCCCTGGCAATGCAGTGAGTCTGCGGGTAGTGCAGGAAAAGGATGCACACAACAGTGACATAGACCGCATAAGCGGGGGAGAGCCCTGGCCGGTGTGTGGCTCAGTTGGGCGTCATCCGTGCACTGAAAGGTTGCTGGCTCAATTCCCGGTCAGGGCACAGGCCCGGGTTCTGGGCTTGATTCCCCAGTAGGGGGCGAGCAGGAGGCAGCTGATTGATGTTTCACTCTCACATCAATGTTTCTCCCTCTACCTCTCCCTTCCTCTCTCTCTCAAAATCAGTGAAAAAGGGGAGGGGTTGATTGATGATGGACGGAGACTTGCCCTGGGGTGGTAAACACACAATACAACATACGGACGATGTGTTGCAGAATTGCATACTGAAGCCTTTATAATTTTATTTACCAATGTCGCCCCAATAAACTCAGTAAAAAATAAAATGAGGATCAGCATCCCAGGCAAAAGGATCCCCAGAGAGCAGGCATGAGGCCCAATTTTCTCCCCATTCCGAGGACTTTACAGATGGGCTTTCTCTCGCAGCAGAAACCATGACCTTATTCACAAAAACTCCTCAGAACCGGAGTCCAGAGTGAATCCTAGGCTGGGTTTCTCACTCTGACAGGCACGTTGGCATATGCTTGCTACATGCCCAGCCCCAGCCGGCAGAGCCCTCTGGGGTGTCCCCAGGACCCAGTGTGAAGCGTCACGTTCATGATTGCCAATAAGCAATGCTGACAAGCTGGCGCAGACCTCCCCAGAGCTCCTGGGACCTGCGGCTACGAAGCAGTGCTGATCACCGGCGTGTTTGGCTTCATGGCCAGGTGCCGACGTCACAGGCACATTGTTACACCAGCAGGATGGCTCGGGCCAGTTCCTGGTCACATCCGGCCTCACAGCACAGTCCTCCAAGACCCTCTGCACGTGGGGACTGCACCACAGTCTTCGGGCGGGGTTCGCACTGATTTTGTGAGACCACACTTAGCACTTAAAATCGTCTTTGAGCCCTAGCCTGTTTGTCTCAGTGGATAGAGTGTCAGCC